TGAGTATGGGTCTCTGGGGGTATCTGTGGGTCTCTGTGGGTCTACGAGTCTGTATGAGTATGGGTCTCTGTGGGTCTCTGTGGGTCTATGAGTCTGTCTGAGTATGGGTCTCTGTGAGTCTATGAGTCTGTATGAGCATGGGTCTCTGTGGATCTCTGTAGGTCTATGAGTCTGTATGAGTATGGGTCTCTGTGGGTCTCTGTGGGTCTATGAGTCTGTATGAGTATGGGTCTCTGTGAGTCTATGAGTCTGTATGAGTATGGGTCTCTGTGGGTCTCTGTGGGTCTATGAGTCTGTATGAGTATGGGTCTCTGTGGGTCTCTGTGGGTCTATGAGTCTGTATGAGTATGGGTCTCTGTGGGTCTATGAGTCTGTATGAGTATGGGTCTCTGTGGGGATCTGTGGGTCTATGAGTCTGTATGAGTATGAGTCTATGTGGATCTATGAGTCTGTATGAGTATGGGTCTCTGTGGGTATCTGTGGGTCTATGAGTCTGCATGAGTACGGGTCTCTGTGGGTCTCTGTTGGGCTATGAGTCTGCATGAGTATGGGGCTCTGTGGGTATCTGTGGGTCTATGAGTCTGTATGAGTATGGGTCTTTGTGGGTATCTGTGGGTCTATGAGTCTGTATGAGTATGGGTCTCTTTGGGTCTCTGTGGGTCTCTGTGGGTCTATGAGTCTGTATGAGTATGGGTCTCTATGGGTCTCTGTGGGTCTATGAGTCTGCATCAGTATGGGTCTCTGTGGGTCACTGTGGGTCTTTGAGTCTGTATGAGTATGAGTCTCTGTGGGTTTATGAGTCTGTATGAGTATGGGTCTCTGTGGGTATCTGTGGGTCTATGAGTCTGTATGAGTATGGGTCTCTGTGGGTATCTGTGGGTCTATGAGTCTGCATGAGTATGGGGTTCTGTGGGTCTCTGTGGATCTATGAGTCTGTATGAGTATGGGTCTCTGTGGGTCTATGAGTCTGTATGAGTATGGGTCTCTGGGGGTATCTGTGGGTATCTGTCGGTCTATGAATCTGTATGAGTATGGGTCTCTGTGGGTCTACGAGTCTGTATGAGTATGGGTCTCTGTGGGTCTCTGTGGGTCTATGAGTCTGTCTGAGTATGGGTCTCTGTGAGTCTATGAGTCTGTATGAGCATGGGTCTCTGTGGATCTCTGTAGGTCTATGAGTCTGTATGAGTATGGGTCTCTGTGGGTCTCTGTGGGTCTATGAGTCTGTATGAGTATGGGTCTCTGTGAGTCTATGAGTCTGTATGAGTATGGGTCTCTGTGGGTCTCTGTGGGTCTATGAGTCTGTATGAGTATGGGTCTCTGTGGGTCTATGAGTCTGTATGAGTATGGGTCTCTGTGGGGATCTGTGGGTCTATGAGTCTCTATGAGTATCGGTCTCTGTGGGTCTCTGTGGGTCTACGAGTCTGTGTGAGTATGGGTCTCTGTGGATCTCTGTGAGTCTTTGAGTCTGTATGAGTATGGGTCTCTTTGGGTCTCTGTGGGTCTCTATGGGTCTATGAGTCTGTATGAGTATGGGTCTCTGTGGGTCTATGAGTCTGTATGAGTATGGGTCTCTGTGGGTCTCTGTGGGTCTATGAGTCTGTATGAGTATGGGTCTCTGTCGGTCTCTGTGGGTCTATGAGTCTGTATGAGTATGGGTTTCTGTGGATCTCTGTGGGTCTATGAGTCTGTATGAGTATGGATCTCTGTGGGTCTCTGTGAGTATTTGAGTTTGTATGAGTATGGGTCTCTGTGGGTCTCTGTGAGTCTATGAGTCTGTACGAGTATGGGTCTCTTTGGGTCTCTGTGGGTCTCTATGGATCTATGAGTCTGTATGAGTATGGGTCTCTGTGGGTCTCTGTGGGTCTTTGAGTCTCTTTGAGTATGGGTCTCTGTGGGTCTCTGTGGGTCTATGAGTCTGTATGAGTATGGGTCTCTATGTGTCTCTGTGGGTCTATGAGTCTGCATGAGTATGGGTCTTTCTGGGTTTCTGTGGGTCTATGAGTCTGTATGAGTATGGGTATCTGTGGGTCTATGAATCTGTATGAGTATGGGTCTCTGTGGGTCTCTGTAGGTCTATGAGTCTGTATGAGTATGGGTCTCTGTGGGTCTCTGTTGGTCTATGAGTCTGTATGAGTATGGGTCTCTGTGGGGATCTGTGGTTCTATGAGTCTGTATGAGTATGGCTCTCTGTGGGTCTCTGTGGGTCTATGAGTCTGTATGAGTATGGGTATCTGTGGGTCTATGAATCTGTATGAGTATGGGTCTCTGTGGGTCTCTGTAGGTCTATGAGTCTGTATGAGTATGGGTCTCTGTGGGTCTCTGTGGGTCTATGAGTCTGTATGAGTATGGGTCTCTGTGGGTATCTGTGGGTCTATGAGTCTGTATGAGTATGTCTCTCTGTGGGTCTCTGTGGGTCTATGAGTTTGTATGAGTATGAGTCTCTGTGGGTCTATGAGTCTGTATCAGTATGGGTCTCTGTGGGTCTTCTTGAAGAAGGCCACTTGTGTTGTTGCCGAATCGTCGTGAGAATTTTTTTTATTTTATTTCCATTCTACGTGACTTCACCGAAAGAACCAAGAAGATGAATCCCTGCAGTCACGAAAGCTTTAAAATCGAAATTTATACGTTTAAGATTATTATTCGTTTTGTTTTTAAACGGCTGATTTCAGCCGCCGCTAGGCGGCGCACCGAGTTCGATTCCCGCTCACGGCCGCCACCAACACCCAGTGGCGATTTATGTGAACCGGTCGTGGGCCTCCCCTAAGTCGACTCAGCCTCAAATGAGTACCTGGTGCAGTGTGTGATAGGGAGAAACAAAGGCGGCCGGGCGTGGTGCTGGCCACCCACCCCCTCGTGTACCACAGGCCTTCATAGGTACTGCTACTCATTAACAACACTTGCCCCAATAGTCTGTGAAGGCTATGTGGGGGATCTTTGTCTGTATGTATGTGGCGAGCGGTGGTGCAGTGGTTAGTGCTGCACTGCGCTACACACCTTGGTGGCCTGAGTTCGATTCCTCGTTCACCAGTGAACCTATCCGCTTGGGTTCGACTCAGCCTTAAGGTCGACTCAGCCTTAAAATCAATTAGAACCTGCTGCGGTGTGTAAAACATCAGCACCCGGGGGAGACAAAGGCGGCTGGGCGTGGTGTTGGCCACCCACCCTGGTGCTCGCTAACAGAACTTGCCCCAATTTCATGTTACAGGCGACACGAGGGATCTTTGTCTTTTGTATATTTACGTCTGTACATTTAATTAAATCAATGTAATGTATACGCATACATACACGTGTGTATAATGTGTATCATTGTAATGGTCATTGGACAAAGACGGTCACCGCAGCGCGTGCTTTCAGATGCTCACTCATTCACCCACTCACTCTCCCACTCACTTACCCACCCACTCGCTCAATCACTCACTCGCTTACTCACTCGCTTACCCACTCACTCACCCATTGACTCAAACACCCACTCGCTCGCTCACGCACTCACTCAATCACCCAATCACTCAATCACCCACGCACTCAATCACCCACGCACTCACGCACTCGCTTAATCACCCACTCAGTCAATCACCTGCTCACTCACTCACCAACTCATTCATTCATCCACTCACTGACTCACCCACCCACTCAATCACCCACTCACTCACCCACTCACTCCTCCATTCACCGACTCAATCAATCACACACTCACCCACTCCTCCATTTACCCATTCACTCAATCACCCACTCACTCACCCACTCACCTACCCACTCACTCACCCACCCACTCACTGATCCACCACTGAATCACCCACTCGCTCAATCACCCACTCATCCACTCACTCACCCACTCACTCCTCCATTCACCCACTCACTCAATCACCCCTCACTCTTCCACCCGGTCACTCACTTGCTGGTGATGATTTTAATTGACCATTGAGGATCCCCGGACGAACTGCATGTATTAAGCACAAAGGACTGACGAAGCAGACCTCCTCGGGCACACTACGAAACTTAATGATAGTTGTTGTTGTTATAATTCGTTACAAAGGGAAACCGGTGGTGAACGCCGATCTTTTTTACGTTGCACGTGAGAAAAAAAACTGATCCAACACTGTGTCCGTCCAGTGCTTGCCACAAATGAACCACAATACCACGTTGCTGATCTCATCAGCAAGGAGCGATAAGCCATCATCACGCGGACTCCGCTCATCCTCACAGCAGCGGTTTTTGGCTCAACTATCGAGCAAAGATGGTCAAGCGCGCTTCTACGACCGTCTGGAACGCTCTTCCTTCCGATGTTAGGAAGCCACTGGAGCTATGCACTTTGAAGTGTCAATCGAAAACGAATTGTTTCTAACTGCTCATTGTTGTGTTTAGTTTGTCGTCCTTACCCCCGGCACCTCCACTTACCAAGGTTGCCTTCGTATACAGTGGTGCCAAAGAAGTTCCACATGCACACATACAATCTGTTCTCCTGTAAAAGCGTGTTTTCATAACGCCAATTGGAGGTATAACGTGACGGATGTATTCCGGGAACGCATAGTTTTTTTTTTGATGGCACGGGTGCCAATTGGATTGAGTGAATAGAACTGCGTACGCGGCGCGAGTAGGAATAAGCAGTTGTTGTAATGCAGCTGCCTCGGCGTAGCATCATCATCATCAATGCACAAGGCATTGGAGTGCTGATGGATGCTGCTTCTGGTTTGCTAACCCATGCGCCTCAGCCTTGTCGTGATCAGCCCTGCGTTGCGCATCATCTCACGTGCGTGTACCGTGGACTTGTGCTTTAAACCCCACCTATATAATTGGATTATTTATTATGACGCAATTTTAACTACCACCACCACCACCACCAGGGCAATATAGAACAGACTTGCACTTTCCCCCTGCATTATATATGATTTGTTTTACCACCACCAGCGTTATAGAGCACACGGACTGTGTAATTAACCGTGGCCCATCCGCAATGTGCATGTTTTGTCACGTGCATATATTTGTTGTTGTTGTTATATCAGGACCATGTCTACGATGCAGGCCAGATTCGCACCCACGAGCGGAGCCACCTCCTCTCACGTGGTCTACTCTGGTGCGGTTCACGGCCAATACTCCGGCGTTCTGTCAAGGCAATACGGAGCTTATCAACAGCACCAGCAGCAGCAGCAGCAGCTCCACCAGCAACAGCATCAAGAACATCCTCAAAGCCTCCTACTGCATCACCACCACCATCAACACCATCAGCAGCAGCAGCAACAGCAGGAGCTTAATCAGCTTCATCATCAGCAGCAGCAGCACAAAGATCTGGTGAAGCCGCCGTACAGCTACATAGCCCTCATCGCGATGGCCATCCAGAACTCGGCGGAGGGGCGAGCTACCCTGAGCGCGATCTACCAGTTCATAGCGGGGCGCTTTCCCTTCTATCGCGAGAACAAGCAGGGCTGGCAGAACTCCATCCGCCACAACCTCAGTCTCAACGAGTGCTTCGTCAAGGTACGTATACGTACGTGTGTGTGTGTGTGTGCGCGCACGTACATGCATGTTGAACTTCTTTCGCACCACCCTACGTAGAAGCCAACCGCGCTAATCGGAGGTCTGTGGGTCTCTGTGTGGTGAGTCTATGGGTCTCTGTGAGTCTGTGGATCTCTGTGTTAGTGTGTGGGTCTCTATGTGAGTCTATGTGTCTCTATGTGAGTCTATGTATGTATGTCCGTTGAAGTTCATTCGCAATGTGTAGCCAACCGTGCTAATCAGAGGTGCGGTGAAAGGACAGCAAACTAAACGCAACAAGCAGTTCTAAAATAATTCGTTTGTCAATCTAGACGATGATTTAAAGGTGCATCATCGCTCCGCAGTGGCTTCTTAATATCGTAAGGAAGAGTGCCCCACAACGGCCATAGAAGTGCATCTGAAATGCACCGCGCGACGCGGTGACCACCTTTGTTCGATGGTTAGCCAAAATTCGCCGCTGCGTCGATCGCGTGATGATGGTTGATGTTCCTTGACGAGATCAGTGAGGTTTTGTGGTTAATTTGGGGGGCATGCACTTTATGTGTGCAATGAGCGCGACCGAATAATGTTCAGCTACCGGTAGCAACCGGCTAGGCTCGATTATTGAGTTGTAATAATCGCGGCTTGTCGATGATACGCTGCACACCACCACCGCGTTGGCTATGTCACGACTCAATCGCGGTCAAATGTAGAGCCCCGATATGACAATTGCAGGAACTGACTATATTTTGCGCTTGGTGATCAAATTACATGTTCTGGTCGAGTGCGGTGCCAGGGGCTCTTTAGATAAGTAGAGAACTGAATCCTGGAGCCCGCGACCACTACACCCGGTCCTCCCACAATCTGTTTCTGGCTGAGCCCGAGTGCCAACGAGCAGAACCTCCAATGTTGCTGGATTAAGCAGCATTTACTTTCGTGCAAAGCACACGTGTGCCACTCGCGTGCAATCTTAGACGTTACTGAGGCTCTCCATAGCTAACCGTTGGCTGCATCGGTATATTGATGGAACTTGATGTCATGCGATGAGAAGACATCGGCGAAGGGCCTGACTATGGACCCCTGTGGTACGCCGACTCGCTTGATGAACTGTGATCAACCGTGTAGGTATGACTCAATCCACCCCAATGCCATGCCCCATACACCGAACCTTGACCTTAGCTGCCCGATAAGTTTTTCGTGGTCAACGGTGCCGAAGGGGGCTGGGAGATTGAGGCCAACCAACGCTGCGGCACACCGGTTATCCGTGATCTTGTAGAGGCCATCAGGGATCTTTGGTAGAGCCCTCTCAGCGTTGTGGAACTTCCGGCAAGCTGACTACAATGGATTAAATCTGCCTGCCGCAGCGACACGGGGTAGTGACCGTTTCAGACGCATGCACTCCGTGACCTTTGAAATCGCACTCAGGTTTGTGATCGGGCGAGAGTTTGCGGGGTCTCTATGGTTTCAAGACAACTTTTTTCAGCAGCGGTGTTACCTGCACTATTTTGAACCGTATTCTTAGCTCTTTCGGTAAAGTCACGTTGAAGGGAAACAATAAAATAATAAAATATATATAAAACAATAAAAATTCTCACGACGTTTCGACCATAACACAAACGGTCGTCATCATCTGGCTACCATGAGAGATTCGTTCATGAGGCTATCCACATATACAAGCACAGAGACAATTTCAACCGAGAAGATGGATTCTGGCTTAGCAATCATTGGAAAGATTTGATAAACCATTTCAGGTCTTAATTGATTGTTCACGCTTACAGTGGCTTTCAGACAGCGTACATTCATTTTTCGTCTCCCCCCTCCTCTTTTCAGAACATAGATGGACTAGTCCTTCTAAATAAACTGCCAAATCGCTGCGCTTGGCGCTGACGTTTTTTAAATAAATAAATACACCGTTTAAAAATAAATAAATGTATGCAAACCGACACACCTGATGACGACCGTTTGTGTTATGGTCGACACGTCGTGAGAATTTTTATTGTTTTATATATATTTTATTATTTTATTGTTTCCCTTCAACGTGACTTTACCGAAAGAGCTAAGAATATGAATTACTGCAGTCACGAAAGCTTTAAATCAAAATTTATTTTGAACCGGTCTGGGAAACAGCCCCTCGCTGAACATAAGATTTGCCAGGTGGACAATCAGCAGCGTAAGCACCGTCCGAGCACGGTTTGAGATTCGACATGTAGATGCAGTCGAGCAGCGATGCCTTATTTGGCAGCCGTGCGATGAACATCGACACCTCTGCCACCAACATTGGTACCAGGGTCTTGGAGTTTTGCATTGGTTCCAGGTCGGTCAAACTCAGACGGCAGACCGGGAGAATGGCTTGTCTTCAAGTTAGAAACTGCCATCTCGAGCGTCACTATTTATTGGCGAAGAACGTCACAAGTACTGTGCACAGACCATATTGACTGGTTTAATGGGTGGTTGGTGTGCAGCAGGACCCTTCACGATGTGCCACAGAGCACGGGGGTCGCGAGCCGACTCATTGACGCGCAAAGCACAGGACGATCTGCTAGACTCAATAATGAGTCAGTTGGCGCATCTGCGGGCGGCTCTGCAAGCGAGGAGTCGTACAGTCTCGAGGACAGTTTTCTTACAAAGACGCTTCCAGCCTCCGCTATGTCTGCTTCGCAGCGAGCGCCTCGGGTGACAGCCGGTCATTGCGCGCATTCCCCGTTATCTTTGTGCTTGTTTGTTCGGATGGGCACCACTTCCTTAAGAACAGCAATAATGTCATTTTCTAATTGAGCTGCAATGGAATTGACCGTCGATGCAGGACACGCCGAAGATGTTCGGATCTTCTGACGGAAAGCATCCCGATCCAGTCGTTTCCGGATTGTGAATCGGCGCCGTTTTGTTGACTACGGGGCCATGACTTGAGGAGCCCTAGCCCGGGCGGTTTGGCACGATTCCCGACATCATCATGAACAGCAGTATGGCGATGGAGGCGCTCTCTTTCGCGATCACATGAACGCTAGGGGCGAAAGAAGAACTGAGCAGGTCCGTGGCACAACTATGGCGTGAGGCTCTGCAGCAAGTGACGTGCACCGTCGGGTATAGGGGGGGGGGGGTGGTGGGTCAGCATTTCCACAGCAGATGGTAGCACAGTGGGGTGAAGCTGAGAGAGTCGACCCGTCAGCACTCCCTTCTTGCAATCCGTTTTGGCTTGTCTGTGTGTGCGAGTGCTTTGAAGCAAAGCGCAATTCGTACATCAAAAAGACAGGCTACAGAGCCCACCGGTCTTCGAAACTCAAAACAACCGGAAACAGTTTAAAACCTTACTTAAAGTTATAAAGTTAAATAATGAAGAAGTTTGAGATAAAAAGAACAAGACAACAGCGTAGGAAAAAGGATGGATCTTCTCTACGAGCATCCCCATAGAAATTAACATAAATTAATAAACATGGAAGTGCAATAAACATACACATGTGTTTGTATTATAATAAGCACACACGTATATTTATATTTTAAAAGTGATAACATTTCTACAAATTAATAAAACTCTTAAAAACCACAATACAAAGAAGCATGAGGCCTAGGGCTTTAGGAGAGGCAATGACAGACTAGGCCTCATTAACTTTTAAAATCAATTAACTTAATAAACCATACAATTATGTATAAATACAGACACGTACATTTATATTAAAAGTGCCGAAAATGTATACAAATGAATAGGAAGTCTTAAAAAAAACAATACAAAAGAAGCCTATGGCTTTAGGCGAGGGGCTCAATGTTAAATCAACCTAATATACACACATGGATTTATAGTATCACAAATACATAAATACACCAACGTACATGTGTTTACTTATACGTTTATATTTTAAATGTTATAACAAAGATAAAGACAAATATACTCCCAATATAGCCTTAACATACTGTTGGGGCAAGTGCCTTGAGGGACCGTAGGCCGGAAACAGCACAAAGGGGGGTGGGTGGCCAGCACCATGCCCGGGCGCCTTTGTCTTCCCGGTGGCGGTGTTTACTACACACCGCACCAGGTACTCCCCAATACCAACACCAGCCATCCCCCACTAAGTGACGTTGACGTCACCACGGTGCCTGTGCCAGACCGGGTGCACTTTGTGGCCACGTGAAGTGTTGAAGGCTCGCTCCTCACTCACACACACACCTCCCACTCGCGCACACATACCCATAACTCACTCGCACACACACTTCCCACACACACACACACGTCTGCCTGTCTGACTGCTCCATTCTGCCAGGTGGCCCGAGACGACCGCCGGCCTGGCAAGGGCAGCTTCTGGACGCTGGACCCGGACTCGCACGGCATGTTCGAGAACGGCAGCTTCCTGCGACGGAGGAGGAGGTTCAAGCGGAAGCAGCGGGCTGGTGGTGATGGTGGTGGTGGTGGTGATGGTGGTGGTGGTGGAGGGTTCCACGCGATGGATCATCGTCACACTGATGAGGAGGCGTCAGAATTGAATCTCGCCCGGGCCTCAGTTGGGACTGCTGGTGGCCCGGATCGTCCGCTGTCATCGTGGTCATCATCATCATCATCATCCTCCTCCACCTCGTTGTTATTGTCGTCGGCGTCTCCATCATCGTCAGCGTCATCGTCGGCGTCATCAGCAGCATCGTCATCGGCTTCACTCGCTGTGCGCCAGCTCTCACCACAGATGGCGACGAAGACGATGGTGGCGCTGCTCGTGCCCAAAGTTGAGAGCCCTGACAGCGTCAACCTGAGCAGTGGTAGCAGCAGCAGCAGCGGGGGTGGTGGTGTTTGTGGTAGTGGTGTTTGTGGTGGTGGTGTTTGTGGTGGTGTTTGTGGTGGTGGTGTTTGTGGCAGTGGTGTTTGTGGTGGTGTTTATGATGGTCGTGGTGGTAGTAATGGAGTTTGTGGTGGTCGTGATGGTTGTGGTGGTGGTCGTGATGGTTGTGGTGGTGGTGATGGTCGTGGTGATGGTCATGGTGGTGGTGATGGTCGTGGTGGTGGTGATGGTGGTGATGGTCGTGATGGTCGTGATGGTCGTGGTGGTGGTGGTCGTGATGGTCGTGGTGGTGGTGATGGTCGTGGTGGTGGCGGTGGTGGTGGTGGTGGTGATGGTCGTGGTGGTGGTCGTGATGGTCGTGTTGGCGGTGGTGGTGGTCGTGATGGTCGTGGTGGTGGTCGTGATGGTCGTGGTGGTGGTCGTGATGGTGGTGGTGGTGGTGATGGTGGTGGTGGTGACAGCCTGAGAGGAGAAGGAAGCCCCAGAAGTGAGGTGTCGACGTTTTTGATGCCATCCACAAACTCGAAGCTTCACACGGGCGTCCTGTCACGTGGCTCACATGGACACCACGGGGGTGGTGGTGGTGGAGATGTTGTTGCAGTGGGAGGAGGTGCTGGAGGATGTGGAGTAGGTTGTTGCGATGGCCGTGACGACCGCATGCCCCTTAGATATCAGCAGGCCCAGGGGATGCTGCCTGCCTATGATGGTATGCAGGACCAGCAGAGTGGATTGTACCTGGGCGGAGAGGGGAGTGAACAGCAGCAGCGACATCAACAGCAGCTGCGCGTGGAGGAGCAAGGGGTTGAAAGAGCGTCGCTCGATTGCTCGCCGCAGATTCAAGGCGTCATCAATCTGAGCACCGGTCATAGCCACCACCAACATCAACAACGGCATCATCACCATCAGCTGCAGTTCCACCACCACCACCATCAGCAAGATCAGCAGCAGACTGATGGACAGCCTCAAGTCACAGCTGACGAGGTGTCAGTTGACGAAGAAACCTGCTCACGATTATCTTTTTGGTATCAACACCACAACCACAATAACCACCACCACCATAACAGTCACCAGCACCATCACCAGCAGCAGCAAGAGTTGTCCACGTATGGCGTGAACATAAATTCTGACCACCATCATCATCAGCAGCAGCTGTTGAGCGTTCGAAGCAATGCTGACAAGACACCAGGATTCCCGTACGCCGCTGCTGATGGCTCCGAAAACTATCGCGTGGCGTTCAGATCAACGCCTGCTATATATCGGTCGTTTGCTTGCGACGTGCATAAGTACTGACGGTGGCTGGAGTCGCATCGGCTTTTATGGTTGAGCATGCAAGGAGTTGCGTGTGGGTCTCTGTATGAATCTATGGGTCTCTTTGCGAGTCCATGGGTCTCTGTGTGAGTCTATGGGTCTCAGTGTGTGGGTCTGGGGTGTGTGGGTATGTGTAGGTGTTCGAGACAGCAAGCCAGGGGTGTTGGTGTCGACTTCAGGGTTTCTGGGTAACACCGCATTGCATTGTCCAGTGGGGCATCAGGAAGTCGAGTGGCGACTATACCCCTGGCTGTGACACAGAACGTTCAATGTCTGGCGCATACGTTCTGCGTATACAGGGACTCTACTTATGAACACTCGACTTACGAACTTTCAGATATACGAAAAAAAAGCCGCCTGTATATCCAGTTGCCTGTTCGGACCGAGACTCATTAGTCTCAAATCCGCGCAATAAATTGTGGTGGTGGTGGTGGCATCTACATCTGCAGAACGTGAGGAATCGGTGGCATCTACATCTACAGGAGGTTATACAACTTTTAAAGCCATTCCCCGTGTTTAGTGTAACATGCCGTACAACATGTTTGGAATTGACAGGAGTAAAGTTGGACTGACAAGCAAATCGACTTACGAAGACCTCTGGAATCTTACTCGTTCGTAAGTAGAGGAGTCTCTGTAAACGCCCCTGCGAGGAGAGGGCGCAATTTGGGCACCACGGTGGCTCGGAGATGTTAACTACCTCGCCTGGTATGCAGGAGGTCGTGGGTTCGATCCCAACCCTGACGATGCCTGCTGCTATATGTTTAGAATCTGCGTCTCTTTCTCTCTCTCCCCGTGGTAGCGTAGATTTTTCTCCGGGTCTTCCGGTTTTTCTCCTCCACATTTAGAATCACGCGTTTAGAGATTGATTTCGTTGAAATATTTCCACGTGATGATGATAAGCCACTTCATTTAGTTTCAGCTTATTTTTTCGAGTTTTATAGTTATACATTGTGGGGTCTAAAATGCCACTATTCTCGCATTTAAAATATTCCTGCTTGGCTTTACCGAATAGAAAAAAAAGTAATACAATACTGTATCTTTAACTACACATGGTTACATTCACAAACCTATAAGGCAAATACAGTACAAAGATCCCTGGATAGCCTTTAAAAGACTGTTGGGGCAAGTGCTGTTAGTAAGCACCTATGGAGAGCGGCACCGTGGCACACGAGGGGGTGGGTGGTCAGCACCACGCCCGGTCGCCTTTGTATCCCCAGTGGCGATGTTTACTACACATCACACTGGGCACTCATGTCAGGCCGAGTCGATCTAGGGGAGGTCCAGGACCGGTTCAGATATTTGATGTCAGTATTTATTGGCCGTGAGTGGGTATTGAAGTCGGGTCTCTGCCGGGTTTGTAAGGCAGTGAGCTAACCGCTGGCCCACCGCTCCCCACACACACGCGCTCATTAGCGATGAGAACAGTTCGCTATGTACGGTGCAAAAAAAGTTCAACATGTTCGCATACACAGACTCACACAGAGACCTATAGACTCACACAGAGACATATAGATCCATCACACATACCCATAGACTAATACAGAGACACATATAATTACACAGAGATCCACAGACTCACGCAGAGATCCAAAGACTCTTCACACAGACCCATAGACTCACACAGAGACTAATAGACTCACACAGAGATCCATAGACTGACATATAGACCCATAGACTCACACTGAAACCCACAGACTCACACAGAGACCCATATACTCACAGAATATTCAGAGACTCACACAGAGACCCATAGACTCACAAAGTGTTCCATAGACTCCTCACACAGACGCATAGACTCACACAGATCTATACACTCGCACAGAGACCTATAGACTGATACAGAGACCCATAGACTCACACATAGACCCATAGACTCACACATAGACCCATAGACTCGCACAGATATCCATAGATTCGCACAGAGACTCACAGACTCACAGTGACAAAGAGACTAACAGAGACACATAGACTTACGCAGAGACCCATAGACTCACATATATTCATATACATGCAACAGAGACCCAGAGACTCATAAAGAGATCCATAGACTGACACAGACCCATAGACTCACACAGAGACACAGACTCAGACAGAGATTCAGAGACTCACACAGACCCACATTCTCACACAGACCCATAGACTCACACAGAGACCCATAGACTCACACAGAGACAAATAGACTCACACAGAGACCTATAGACTCCTCATACAGTGACCCATAGACTAATACAGAGACACATAGAATTACATGGAGATGCATAAACTCACCCAAAGACCCATAGTCTCACGCAGACCCATAGACTCACACAGAGACCCATAGACTTACACAGAGACCCATAGACCCACACAGAGACCCATTTACTTACACAGAGACACATAGACTCAACAGAGACCCATAGACTCACACAGAGGCACATAGACTCACACAGAGACCCATAGACTCATACAGAGACCCATAGACTCACAAAGAGACCCATAGACTCACACAGAGACCCATAGACTCACAAAGAGACCCATAGACTCACACAGAGACCCATATACTCACACAGAGACCCATAGACTCACACAGAGACCCATTCAGAACTGCTTGTTGGTGTTGTGTTTAGTTTTGTTGTCCTTCCCCCGCACCTCAGTTGAGCGTTGTTGGCTACGTACGGTCCAGAATAAGTTTAACGCACACATACCACAGCCTTAATCTTGCAACTACATTCATGTGTAGTAAAGTGCCATTTTTGTAAAGTATTACAATAGCACGAACGATATTTTTCTAAATACATTTTATATTAATAAACGTTTGCTGTTGACAGTGTTGTTTCAAATATAAAATATGAGCGCCGTCGGTGAATACATTTGTTATTGCTGTACGATAAAGGAGGGTCTTAAAAAAAACATTGGTTAGAATTGCACAAGATACTTAACGTAAAATATATATATTCTACAGGTGTACATAAGGAACGCATCCACGATTTAAAATCGCATTGTACAGACAAAATACACGTCTTCTCTTCGATCCTCTTTAGTTCTTTCGGTTAAAGTCACGTAGGTAGAAAAATGTATAGGTCACGACGTTCCGATCGCAACACGAGCAATCGTCATCAGGTGAGACAAACACAGCAGGGGAACTGCCGAGGCAGGAGAAAGAGCTGCTGCAACAAGAGGTTATATAGGCTTGAGGTGGGCGGAGCTAGAGATGGAATTTGCATGTAAATGTAAGAGATTAGCATGTCAATGTAAGACGCCTCCAGCAACCGGGGACTGTGTCAATGAGAAGATTAGGATGTCAATGTGAGACAGCTCCAGCAACCGGGGACTGTGTCAATGAGAAGATTAGGATGTCAATGTGAGACGGCTCCAGCAACCGGGGGCTGTGTCAATGAGATGATTAGGATGTCAATGTGAGATGCCTCCAGCAACCGGGGACTGTGTCAAAGAGAAGATTAGGATGTCAATGTGAGACAGCTCCAGCAACCGGGGACTGTGTCAAAGAGAAGATTAGGATGTCAATGTGAGACAGCTCCAGCAACCGGGGACTGTGTCAATGAGATGATTAGGATGTCAATGTGAGACGGCTCCAGCAACCGGGGGCTGTGTCAATGAGATGATTAGGATGTCAATGTAAGATGCCTCCAGCAACCGGGGACTGTGTCAAAGAGAAGATTAGGATGTCAATGTGAGACAACTCCAGCAACCGGGGACTGTGTCAATGAGATGATTAGGATGTCAATGTGAGACGG